AATCCAATACATGAACAACGGTTGCACGGATTGAGAACTGTCCCTTTTCAAAATGAAGCTCTTGTCTGAGACTTCCGGAAATGAGATGATCATAACTTGCGACTGTGCAACACCGGCTCGGGTGGAGGGCAAATCTAAGTCAAAGCGGAGCTATCGCTCAACACTTCTTCGATGTGCTTCTAGCCCAGCAGATGGCAGGTGGATCCTTTCTGGAACGGGGTCTCGAATCAGCGGCCAGCCTACCGGGCGCTCGTCATTCCAGGGTGCGCTGCCCGCAGTGGAAGGAACTTGCGACGGGAGGGTGTACTGCAGCATCGTTGATGCATCGTGTGTCTGCTCTGGCGATCCTCCTCCTCGACGAGATCGAGGCTCGGGGGACCTCCTCCTCCTCCTCCTCCTCCTCCTCCTCCTCCTCCTCCTCCTCGCTCCTCGCTCCTCGAGGACCAAGTCCGCAGGCAGCCCTTTCGCCTCGAGCCTGCCGCCGGCGCCAGGCGGGCGCTGCGCTCCGGGGCCCCCGCCGCCTGCGAGGCCCGCGGACCCTCGACGCGCGCCGCCAGGGCCCCAGACGCGGGGGGCCGTGGTGGAGGCGCTCGCCCTGCTGGCGCGGGCGGCACCCGCCGGCGCGGCCCGCGGGCCACGGCGGGCGGCAGCAGCTCGCAGCCGACCGCCGCGGCAAGGCCCTCCCCACGGGCGCCGAGCTGCTCGGCGGGAGCGCGGGCGCCGAGCGCCGGGGCGCGGGGCTCGCCTGCCCGAGAGGCCGAGGGCGAGGTCCGGGCGCGGGAGGGGCTCGCGCGGAACCGCCCGACGGTGCCGGTGGGGTCGCCCGGGCGTGCCGCCGCCCGTCCGGGGGGCCACCGCGACGGGGCCCAGGACGCCGACTTCGACGAGGGGGAGGCGCCCGAGCGGTGCCGCAGACGGCTCGCGAGGCCCGGCGCCGTGTTCGCGGGCCGCGGCGCCACCCCCTTCTGGCCTCGGGCGCGCAGGAGGGCGAGTCGGTCGGGTCGGCGGTCGCCGTGGCCACCGTGGGGCCCCTGAAGCAGTACATCGGTTCGGACGTGGAGGAGAAGAGGGCGGACGCGGAGCTTGCCGCGACCGTCGGCCGCGTGGAGACTCTCGCCGAGGAGCGCGACGGCCTCGCCGAGGAGCTTCTGGAGGCTCGGCAGATAGCCAGTGGCCTCGCCGAGGAGCTCATGGAAGCGCGGCAGCTCACCTGGGCGTTCGGCCGTGCGAAGCAGGGCGCGATGACCAACATTAAGAACATGGCTGAGGTGACGGATCAGTTGGAAGCTCTGGTGGCGATGGACATGGCCGAGGCGGAGCCCATGCTAGTGACCAAATGTGAAGTGGGCACGGCCAAAGCGGAGTTCCAGTTTCAGGTCCCGCCCAGTGTCAGGGATGCCCCCAAGGACGTGGAGGTATTGGCTGATATTGTGTAGGCGGCTGATGCTTAGTCCAAGTTTGAGACCACGGCCAACTTCCTCGACGTCCCGCCCTTCCCGCTGACCCAGGGTGGTGGAGCCCGACGTGCGCGGCAAGGGTGCCTTTACGGACACATTCGAAGTGGCTGTGGAGGTTGAGGCGGAGGTTAAAACGGACACGATCAGTGTGGAGCCCAGACTGGACACCCTTTCCCTGCTCTGGAAGAGGTGATGTGTGTCAGGGCCGATGTGAAGCCCCAGTGTGAGACCAAGGCTGTGATCGTCTCGGCCAACGGCGATGGCACTGCGGCCACGTCTTGGGCCGACAACCTCGACGGGGACAGTCTGCTGGTCGAGGAAGAGGCCCAGGACTCCTCCACTTCCTCCTCTTCCTCCTCTTCCTCCTCCTCCTCCTCGTCCTCCTCCTCCTCCTCCTCCTCCTCCTCCTCCTCCTCCTTGCATTTTTGCACTTCGCATTTCGCTCATACACAGCCGTCCACGGGTCCGCGCGCCGGTCGCCCGGCGCCCGGCCCCGCGGCCGCTGCGACTCAGTGCTGTCGCCGGGAGGGGGGGGGGCGTGCAGGCCTGAGCCATCCCGCCGACGGAGGCAAGGCTGGCGAAGGCGGTGGTCTCTCACACCCCTTCCTCCCCCGGCTGGTTCGTAGGCATTCGCCCACGCTCCCCCCCTCCCCGGTCCAGTGGGCGCGGGCGGCGGACACCGTGGACGACGGCAAGCAAATCAGGCAGGCGGGCGGGCAAGATGAGGAGGGACGGGCAATGCCCATCAGGCATCGGATAGCGGAAGATGACGAGAGGGGGGCACAGGTGACAAACAAGAGAGGGCAAACGAAACAAGAAGGAGGAAGGGCAGGCGAGGGAAAGGGGCCAAGCTCACTGGACGACCCGCCCAAGGGGAGAGACCGACCCTGGAACAACAGAACCAGGGGCGGGTATGTTGTCCCAGGGTCGGCCCACCGTTTCCAACAACAAGCCCAGGCATGAATGATCACTCCGCCCCGAAAAAAGAAGCTCCCTTCTCGTCGAGCGACAAAGCAGCGGTGCAAGGCAGGCAGCAACAGCAGCAGCAGCCCGCCGCAGCAGCGGCAGCGGCCAGAAGCGGAGCAGGAGGAGAGGAGGACAGGCGGGGGGGGGACAACGACGAAGAAGCAGAATGATGGCATGTTGGCGGCCTCTTCCTGCGCGACTCGTCAGTCCATGTCAACGCCACGCGGAGATGCCCCCGGCCCTTTCTCGGCGGCCTCGGCGCCCTCCCCGCCAGAGACGGGCAGTGCCCCCAGACCAGCCCTGTGGGGGGTGCCACGATAATGCCGGCAGCACGTCCTCGCGCAGGTTGCTAAACTTAACGCGCGGAGGGGGAGCGCGAGGAGGAGGGGGAGGAGGCCGGCCTGGGGACCGCGCGCAAGATTGCGCGGCCCACGAAAACAATGCGCCTGGCACGGGCCACAGGTCCCGCACCCTCGCAGAAGAGCAGCTGCAACAACAAGTCAGGAGTGACGGACGGCCCAGCACGGCCCCCCCCCACTCCTGGCAGTGCCTCGCGCGCCTTCTCCAGGGCTGGACACTCGACCAGGGCATGCCAGAGCGAAACTTCGCGTCTACGGCACGCACGACACACTTAGCAGAGTTTCGGGGAGTTCCACCTCGCCCAACACAGGCAGGGGCCATGCCCCCGTCATCCGGGCGACTGCCCACAGACGACAATACTTCCAAAAGGAGGGCCCAGGCTCCCAGGCCAGCATGCCCTCATCGGGGAGGGTTGGACCAGGGCACAGCGCAGCAAAGGAACGATCGAGGCTCGGCAAGACCCGAGAGGCCCCTTCAAGGAAGGCCTGCTGATCGTATCTAAGGAGCGCTGGGCGCAAGGCAAAACGCCGATACTCCCGCAGGAGGACCTTCTCCTCCTCCTCCTCCTCCTCCTCCTCCTCCTCCTCCTCCTCCTTCTCCTCCTCCTCCTCCTCCTCCTCCTCCTCTCCTCCTGGAGCTGCAGGACTGTCCGATGGGGAACGACCCCATCGCTGGTGCAAGACACGGCCGAGGCGAACGAAGCCCGAGGAGCCGGGCAAGAAGAAAAAGGCCGCCCTGAATCAGGCGATGTCGCACACGACCGAGGCGAAGTCCCGTATTGCCCACGCGGCGCAGGCGGAGGCTGTGACGATGGAGGCCGAGGAGATGAAGGACACGGCCGACGCGCTGCCCACCCGTGAGACCACCACCTCCATCGAGGAGATGCGTTTCCACACACTCGAAGTCGGGGGACGTGAGGATCAGCTCACATGAGGATGCACGCGCATAGCATGAAGGAAGGCCAGAGCGACATTTACCGCATTACGGAGGAGAGCGTCGCGGCCGTGGCATCGTCGCCATCACTCGCAATCCTGCGCAAGAGGGTCTGGAAGTCCTGCACGTCACCGACAGTGATGAGTAGCCCGTGCAGCTGCGACAGGACTTCGACGGCATGACGCTGAGGTCCACCAGCGAGCGGGTGGCGATAGTGATCAGTGAGACCGTGCAGCTGGAGGTGACGAGCCAGCTGCAGGGCATGATGCCCGACACCCCCTGGAACTCGAGCAGCATCCAGGCGGCAGTGGAGGATGGCGCCCCCGTGGACGAGGCCATCGAGGAGCTGGCTCGGTTCGCCGTGGGGACGCAGGCTGAGCCCTGAGGCGTGTGCGAGCCTACCCATGCACAGCCAGGCTGCCCCCCTGGGCCCCGGGGGCCGTGCGGCGCCCTCGCTGGCCCTGTCGCGGTGCTGTTTGGGGCCTCGTTTGGCCCCTGGGGCGGGGGGGAGGCCCGAGCCGAGCAGCAGGGGCAGCCTGATCGGGCACCGCCCGCTGCCGCCCTGTCGTGTGCGCGGCTCCCTGGCGGTGCCACCGTTGGCCTCAGATCTCGATCGGGTGGTCGGCGGCGGCTGCGCCGCGTGGCGGCGGGACTCAGAACCCTCGCTCGGGATCCTCGCGGATCGAGGATCGAGGCTTTGGGGCCCTGCTCCCTCTCCTCCTGCTCCTCCTGTTCCCTCTCCTCTCCCTCCTCCACCTCCACCTCCACCTCCTCGAGGGTCGAGGATCACGCTTCAGGAGTGCTCCTTCATATCAGCCACCTCCTCGTCTTCCTCTGCTGCTGCCTCCTCCTGAAGACCCCGTTTCTTCATGGCGATCAGTAAGGACGACCAATCGGGCCTCATAGTCGACCCGCCAGACCCTCTCCTGGGGGTGCGTTCTGGACAAGATTTCGAAGGGGACCCAGCCGCGTCGATGAGAGGCCCCCCAGAGGCTCCCAGAAGGACACAGCACCCTGACCGTTTCTTTCCTCAAGGCCAGCCTTTCTTGACGGCCCTGGAGCCCAAAGAATCGGTACGATCGGAATGGGTGCCCCGACGACCAGAATCGCTGCGGCCGATTCCCCTCGACTCCCTGGCTGCACCGATGACGAGGCGGATCCGAGGTCTGGGCCTCGTCGTCGCCGTCGTGGTCGTGGTCGTCGTCGCCGTCGTGGTCGTGGTCGTGGTCGTGGTCGTCGTCGTCGTCGGCCGTCGTCGGCCGTTGTGCGCTGGGAGGCGCTGCGCTGCCTCGCCCAGGAGGCGCCGCAGCCGCGGGGGGGTCAGCCCTCGCCCGGTCGGCAGGGCCCCATCAGCCACCGCAGCGGGCCGCTGCAGCCCCCGCAGGCCGCCTCGGGCAGAGGCGTCGCCGTCCGTCGCCGTCGTCGTCGTCGTCGTCACCGTCGCCGCCGGCGTCGTCGCCGCCGCCGTCGCCGTCGTCGTCGTCGTCGTCGTCGCCGTCGTCGTCGTCGTCGTCGTCGTCGTAGTTGTCGTCGTCGTCTTCGTCGTCGTATTCGTGCATTCGTCCGTCGTCGTCCGTCGTCGCGTCGTCGGTGTCGCAGCTTTCTCCCCAGACCCCCTCGCGTCGTGAAAGAATCGCGACGGGAGGTTTGTTGCTATTTTCGGGCTCCAAGGGCCCTCACCGGGCCCCGGGACCCTCAAAAAACGACTCAGGATGAAAAGCCGGTCCCGGGGAAGCGGTCCAGACCTCCGGGGGTCGACGTTGCGAAAAACTCACGACGTCGGGGGTCTGGGTCGCGCGCACGCTGGGCGATATTGGCCTCCGGGGACCCTCGCAGGCACGACGGAGCGAGCCGCGAGATCGGGTCAGCTCGGAAGCGGATCTGCTCGCCAGCGAGCCGTCCCGGATCGAACCGTGCTCGGATCGCCCCGCCCGGCTCAGGCTGGCCCCGGGCGATGTCGGCGAGTCGAGCCGCATCGCATCGGATCGGCCTCGCGGCCCCAGGCGGCAAATCGAATCGCATCGCGTCGGCGATCGTAGGCGGCGCCCTGCCTGGCCTGTCAAAACCGACGCAGGATGCAAGGCCAAGCGCGAGTGGGGTTCTGGCGTCGCATGTGTTTCGCACCGGGCGCTTTCGCCCAGATTCGGGCCCCAGGGCCTTGCGGATCGATCCGTCTCGAGAAAGTGCCGCAGAAAGATCAGGTCCAGGGTCTGGGGCTGAGGCGATAACACCACACTAGGTTGCCACATTCTCGCGAGGTCAGGTCTCAGGGCCTCCAGAGCAAGAGCCACCCTCCCTGACATCCTGGCGCCGCGAAAAAATTACGATGGACAGTTTTTCCCAACCAGCCTGTGGTGTTGGGTCCTCGTTTTGAGACAGCGTCCCGCGTTCCTTCCTCCTTCCCCCTTCCTCCTCCCCCTCCCTCCTCCCTCCTCCCATCCCTGCCTTTGCCCTCCGCATGTCCATGTCGGCACACCCCTCACACGCTTCCTGGCTCCATAGGGAGCTCCACCTGAGGCCCCAGCGGGAGGGCTCGCATGGCGCCGCCGGCACATTTCGACACAACCCTCACACGCTTCGTGGCCCCATCAGGGAGCTCCACCAAAGGCCCCAATGTGAGTGAGGGTTCGCATGGCACCGCCGCCTCATGTCGGCACACCCCGCACACGCTTCGTGGCCCCATCAGGGAGCTCCACGCGAGGCCCCAGTGGGACAGTCTTCGTCCCTTCGGGGGGCCGAAGACGACCCCCTGAGGGCCGAGGCTCAGGAAGCACGCCAGGGCTACAGAGCACCGATCCGCCAGGAGGCCCCCGAGGTCTCTGGAGGGTCTTCGCAGGCCCCCCCCCCGTGAGTCTCCACAGGCCTTGTTGGCCTCGTCCCGAAAGACGTGGTCGTCCTCCTCGTCCCCCCTCCTCCCCCCAGGACGTCGTCCTCTCACTCCTCCAAGCTCCCCCCAAGACCCCTCCCAGCTCTCCAGCCTCCTCGCCCTCCAGGCTCTGTCCAGCTCCTCCCTAGTCGGCCAACCAAGACCCCTCCAGCTTTTACACTGCCTCCCCAGACTTCGGTCGGGCCTGTCCCCTTACAGGGCGCTTTTGGACGAAAAATAAGAAATACCTCATACATACGCGAAAATAATCAAAAATTGTATAAAACATCGTCCCCACATTATTTTCTTAATATTTCTGAATATTCCTCCTGTAGAGGGACACGCCCGACTTAACCCAAGACGTCGCCCTCTCACTCCTCCTGACTTCTCCTTTTCCGCCGCAGCGCGGGTCGCAGCGCGGCAGACGCAATCCGCACGCGCGCTCTCATAGGGGCCAGGCAATGGGAGGCACGAGCTGTCCAGCGGCAGTGGGGGGAGACTAGGGCGAAGCGCGGACGAGGAGGAAGGAAGAGGAGGGAGGACACTCACAGCGCGAAGAACTTCGACTGAAGTGGCCTGGCGGCCAGCCTGTGCTGACGTTGCCTGGCAGTGGACGCAAGGCCTCCTGCCGTCTCCCAGGAGGGACAAGAAGCTGCGTAGCCATGAACTTTCGGACGTCCGCGCGGATATCTTGGATCGGCGCTGGACCCCCCCCCCCCCGGCGGCGCCTCTAGCGCAGCCCCTGGCCTGCTTCGCGCGCCAACGAGGGGCCCTGGAGCCCGAAACTGGCGTCCCTGGATGTTCGTTGATGGCCCTGGAGCCCGAGACTGGCCTCCAGACGCTGAGAGGACAAACCAACGAAAACGTTTGGAGGTCTGGTACCCTCCCTCAAAAAAACAAGCCCAAGACCTGTCGTGGGGCTCGTTCTCGCCACAATTTTGGAAGAGGCATCCAGACGTGGCGACGAGAAGCGTCCCAGAGGCCATCAGAGTACCCAAACCGCATTCAAAATCCTCGAACCTCGAGCCTCGGACCCGCCTCGGCATCTTCCCTACCAGACCCTCGAAGGAGACCCCGCCGAGCAGCGTCCCGGAAGCCCAGAGAGCGCAGCACGCGCCGAGAAATCTCGACCCTGGGATCCGCTTCGCCCGAGAAATCTCGAACCTGGAATCTCGAAATCTCGAACACGCGCCGAGAAATCTCGACCTGCATTTTGATGGGAACTGGCCGCGACAAGCCTAGCAAACCCACGGAGAGCCCCAACAGCCCCTCAGAACCGTCCTCTCCTCCTCCTCCTCCCTCTTCCTCATCCTCCTCCTCCTCCTCATCCTCCTCCTCCTCCTCCTCCTCCTCCTCCTCCTCCTCCTCCTCCTCCTCCTCCTAATCTTCTTAGCATTCATAGTAGTAGTAACATCCGCCGCTCTGCGGTTGATCGGGAGTTTCTGTATATGATATATTATATATAGATATATATATATATATATATAGAAGAAGGGGCGCGCGCTTCTGGGCGAGAGGGAAACGACCGAGAGAAGAAGGGGCGGCCGCCCCACAGGACCTCTCCATGGTGCCGGAAGCCCATCAGGGCTCCCTCAGGGCCCCTCCCCCAGGGCCGGGGCTCCCTCGCCTGCCCCCTCCCCCTCCTCCTCCTCCTCCTCCTCCTCCTCCTCCTCCTCCTCCTCCTCCTCCTCCTCCTCCTCCTCCTCCTCCTCCTTCGCCCCCGTCGGCATATCCAGGCGTGTTATGCAGTCAGGTCGTCCGTCCGGAAACGGTGCCGGAGGCCGCTCTGGGCTCCTCTGGGCATCCCCCCCGGGGCCCGTTTTGTGAGGATGTCTCAGGCGAGGGCGCCGGTTTGGGATTCGTCACCGGATCCAGCGGATCCAGCGGATCCGTCCGGAAACGGTGCCGGAGGCCGCTCTGGGCTCCTCTGGGCATCCCCCCCGGGGCCCGTTTTGTGAGGATGTCTCAGGCGAGGGCGCCGGTTTGGGATTCGTCACCGGATCCAGCGGATCCAGCGGATCCGTCCGGAAACGGTGCCGGAGGCCGCTCTGGGCTCCTCTGGGCATCCCCCCCGGGGCCCGTTTTGTGAGGATGTCTCAGGCGAGGGCGCCGGTTTGGGATTCGTCACCGGATCCAGCGGATCCAGCGGATCCGTCCGGAAACGGTGCCGGAGGCCGCTCTGGGCTCCTCTGGGCATCCCCCCCGGGGCCCGTTTTGTGAGGATGTCTCAGGCGAGGGCGCCGGTTTGGGATTCGTCACCGGATCCAGCATCCAGCGGATCCAGCGGATCCGTCCGGAAACGGTGCCGGAGGCCGCTCTGGGCTCCTCTGGGCATCCCCCCCGGGGCCCGTTTTGTGAGGATGTCTCAGGCGAGGGCGCCGGTTTGGGATTCGTCACCGGATCCAGCGGATCCAGCGGATCCGTCCGGAAACGGTGCCGGAGGCCGCTCTGGGCTCCTCTGGGCATCCCCCCCGGGGCCCGTTTTGTGAGGATGTCTCAGGCGAGGGCGCCGGTTTGGGATTCGTCACCGGATCCAGCGGATCCAGCGGATCCAGCGGATCCGTCCGGAAACGGTGCCGGAGGCCGCTCTGGGCTCCTCTGGGCATCCCCCCCGGGGCCCGTTTTGTGAGGATGTCTCAGGCGAGGGCGCCGGTTTGGGATTCGTCACCGGATCCAGCGGATCCAGCGGATCCGTCCGGAAACGGTGCCGGAGGCCGCTCTGGGCTCCTCTGGGCATCCCCCCCGGGGCCCGTTTTGTGAGGATGTCTCAGGCGAGGGCGCCGGTTTGGGATTCGTCACCGGATCCAGCGGATCCAGCGGATCCGTCCGGAAACGGTGCCGGAGGCCGCTCTGGGCTCCTCTGGGCATCCCCCCGGGGCCCGTTTTGTGAGGATGTCTCAGGCGAGGGCGCCGGTTTGGGATTCGTCACCGGATCCAGCGGATCCAGCGGATCCGTCCGGAAACGTTGCCGGAGGCCGCTCTGGGCTCCTCTGGGCATCCCCCCCGGGGCCCGTTTTGTGAGGATGTCTCAGGCGAGGGCGCCGGTTTGGGAGCGGATCCAGCGGATCCAGCGGATCCGTCCGGAAACGGTGCCGGAGGCCGCTCTGGGCTCCTCTGGGCATCCCCCCCGGGGCCCGTTTTGTGAGGATGTCTCAGGCGAGGGCGCCGGTTTGGGATTCGTCGGATCGGATCCAGCGGATCCAGCGGATCCAGCGGATCCGTCCGGAAACGGTGCCGGAGGCCGCTCTGGGCTCCTCTGGGCATCCCCCCCGGGGCCCGTTTTGTGAGGATGTCTCAGGCGAGGGCGCCGGTTTGGGATTCGTCACCGGATCCAGCGGATCCAGCGGATCCGTCCGGAAACGGTGCCGGAGGCCGCTCTGGGCTCCTCTGGGCATCCCCCCCGGGGCCCGTTTTGTGAGGATGTCTCAGGCGAGGGCGCCGGTTTGGGATTCGTCACCGGATCCAGCGGATCCAGCGGATCCGTCCGGAAACGGTGCCGGAGGCCGCTCTGGGCTCCTCTGGGCATCCCCCCCGGGGCCCGTTTTGTGAGGATGTCTCAGGCGAGGGCGCCGGTTTGGGATTCGTCACCGGATCCAGCGGATCCAGCGGATCCAGCGGATCCGTCCGGAAACGGTGCCGGAGGCCGCTCTGGGCTCCTCTGGGCATCCCCCCCGGGGCCCGTTTTGTGAGGATGTCTCAGGCGAGGGCGCCGGTTTGGGATTCGTCACCGGATCCAGCGGATCCAGCGGATCCAGCGGATCCGTCCGGAAACGGTGCCGGAGGCCGCTCTGGGCTCCTCTGGGCATCCCCCCCGGGGCCCGTTTTGTGAGGATGTCTCAGGCGAGGGCGCCGGTTTGGGATTCGTCGGACCGGATCCAGCGGATCCAGCGGATCCAGCGGATCCGTCCGGAAACGGTGCCGGAGGCCGCTCTGGGCTCGTGCTCTTCGCGCCGGGGGTGAGGATGACGTGAGTTCCACAGAAACTCCCTCAAATTATTCGCCTGATTCTTCTTAGTAGTATCATTCGTAATAGTAGTCATCTTATTCCTCTTCCCCATATCCTAAGCTGGGGTTACTATAATTACTTGGACGCCTCCTACTCCTCCTTCCCCCTCTTCTCCTCCTCCTCCTCCTCATCATCATCACCCCCCTCTTCCTTCTCATACCTAGACATACTAATACACAGACTTACTCATATACAGACTTACTCAGACTCAGACCTGACCATATTAACTTACGCATTCCCAGATCGAATCATAATCAGACCTACGCACACTCAGACTTAATCATGCTGAGACTCACTCATACCCAGACTTCCTCATTCACAGACCTTCGCATTGTCTGACTTACTCAACACACAGCAGGTTGTGAGGATGTCTCAGGCGGGGCGCTGGTTCCAGCACCCCTAAGGAGAGCCGCCAAGGGGTATGACACGGTCCCGTTCGCGGCCGTTTTGTGGGGATGTCTGAAGCGGTTTCTCTGGTTGCTGTCCCAGCATCCTTCGCTTCGAAAGCAGATTGTGAGGATGTCTCAGGCGGGGCGCTGTTTTCAACACCCCTAAAGGGAGCCGCCGAAGGGTATGACACGGTCCCGTTCGCGGCCGTGTTGCGGGGATGGCTCAAGCGGTTTGCCTGTTTTCTGTCTCAGCATTCTTCGCTTGGAGAGCAGACTGTGAAGATGTCTCAGGCGGGGCGCTGGTTTCAACTAGCTAAGGGGAGCCGCCAGGGGTGTTTTCACGGCTCCGTTCGTCGCCGATTTGTTCTGTCCCCGCGCTCAACTGTTTCCCTGCCTTCGCGCTGAGCCAAACCTGGTCCGATTCCAAGTGCGGACGGCCCATGCGCGAATGTATTCAGTTTGCCCCATCATCCTACGTTTCTCTTAGGCGCTCGCCCAAACATGGCCCGATCCCAAGTGCGGACGGCACTCCGCGTGAATTCCTCATTGGGTTCTTCTACTAGGTAGCCCCATCTTGGCGTGGACGGCACAAGCGAGCGACCTCTGCCACGGTGCTTGCGACGCAATGTCAATGAATTCTTTGCTTTGACAGAAATTATTCCAGAGCGACCCTACCTAGGAGTTGGAGCCCCGAGGAGAACATTATTAGTAGTAACGGTAAGCGCCGTCATCCTCCTTCTCCTCACCGGCACCTGTCGCACATTGCTTTTGATGGGCTGTTCCTTTGATTTGCTTTTGCGTTTGCCGTGCTTTGCTTTGCGTTGCTTGTACTTTGCGTTGCTGTTGCTGCTGTTGGGTTGTCTTTGCTTTGATGCTATGCTATGCTATGCGATGCTATGCTGCGCTATGCTATGCTATGCTATGCTATGCTATGCTGCGCTACGCTGCGCTATGCTGCGCTATGCTATGCTATGCTAGGGTATGCTAGACTGCGCTATGGTATGCTATGCCATGCTATACTGCGCTGTGTTATGCTATGCTATGATATGCTATGATATGCTATGCTATGCGATGTTGCGCTATGCTATGCTATGTTATGCTATGCTGCGCTATGCTATGCTATGCTAGGCTATGATATGATAGGGCATATGGCACGATGCGCTATGATATGATGTGATATGATATGATATGATATGCTGCGCTATGATATGTTATGACATAGTATGATGTGATATGCTGCGCTATGCTATGCTATGCTATGCTGCGCTATGCTATGCTATGTTGTGCTATGCTATGCTATGCTATGCTGCGCTGTGCTATGTTAAGATTTGATATGCTGCGCTATGCTGCGCTATGCTATGCAATGCTATGCTGCGCTTTGCTATGCTGCGTTATGCTATGCTATGCTATGCTATGCTATGCTATGCTAATGCTGCGCTGCGCTAAGCTAAGCTAAGCTGAGCTCAGCTAAGCTAGGCTAGGCTCAGCTAAGCTAAGCTAAGCTAGGCTAGGCTAGGCTAGGCTAGGCTAGGCTAGGCTAAGCTAAGCTAGGCTAGGCTGAGATGAGAAAAGCAACGCTAAGCTAAGGGAACGTCACTGGGGGAACCGCGGGGCGGATCCTGGGGGAAACGCCCGGGGCGTTTTGCACTGCCCGGCCCCTTTAAGCAAACACAGTAAGAACCCTTCTAGGCAGAGCCTAGGTAGGGAAAGATGCGCGGAGATATGCTTGCGGATGAAACATATACATGTGTTGGATGTGCAGCCGAGCTGCGCGCGCGTGTGCTCGTCGCTCACGTAAACGCGCTCTTATAACAAAACTGTCATAGACATATTATTATTCATATTATTATTTCTCTTCCTCCTCCTCCTCCTCCTCCTCCTCCTCCTGCTCCTCCTCCGCTCTCTCATTCCCCTTCGACGGCGACGAACGACGACGACGACATCGCCGACGCCGCCGCCGACGACGCCGACGCCGACGCCGACGCCGACCCCGCCGCCGACGCCGACGCCGACGCCGACGCCGACGACGACGCCGACGCCGACGACGACGACGGTGGCGGCGTCGACGCCGACGACGACGACGACGACGCCACCGAGGGCAGGCCCCGGAGACCTGAGATCCGACGTCGCGAAAAAATCAGCATCGTGGAAAGGTGCGTCAGTTCAGACGCATAGGCCCCATCTTCGTGCAGCACTTCTCGAGCCTGACGACAGAAGCCCGTTGACGCTCAGATACGCGTGCACACTTGGTAACATTAGGGCTCAGGGCGCTTAGCATCCGAGGCCACGCCCACCGTGAGCAGAGTGGTGGGGAGCCCATCCATTTGCACTGTTGAAAACATGCGCGATCACATTCAATTCACCCCGTCTTTGTGCAGCACTTCTCGAGCCTGACCGACCCGCGAGGGCTCCAAGACGCCTGGCGTGAACCAGTTGAGACGCCAGGGGTCCCACACCTCCGAGGCCGTGGCTTCTCACAGTGAGCGCCCCCCTGTGAGGTTTCTCCCCCCCCCCTCCCCGGCACCGGCTTTGGCTCCTGGCTGGTTTCTCGATTGCCCAGGGGCCAGCAAAAGGGCCCCAGCGGGCGGGCCATGGGGGGCCAACTGGTGGCCCCCTTTGGCCGTCTCAAGACACTCCTGGCCCGCCCGGCGCCGTCGGAAGCCGTCTTGGGGGGCTCTCTGGGCCGTCTTTGGGCCGGCCCTCCCGCTCGAGGGAAGAGCTGGCAGTGCCGCCTCCGCCCGCACGAGCCTCGGCGGGCTTCCTGGGCAAGCGGCCAAAACCCTCCCGTCGCGACTGCCTCACGACACGAGGTGGGGGACCGCAGTGGCCGCCCAGGACGGCGGCGAAGCAGCGGCCTGCTGCGGCCCGCAGCAGCCGGGCGCCCCCGAGGGTCGTCGTCGTCGTCCTCGTCGTCGCCGCCGTCGCCGCCGCCGTCGTCGTCGTCGTCGTCGCCGCCGCCGCCGCCGCCGTCGCCGTCGTCGTCGTCGTCGTCGTCGCCGCCGCCGCCGCCACCGCCGCCGCCGCCGCCGCCGCCGCCGTCGTCGTCGTCGTCGTCGTCGTCGTCGTCGTCGTCGTCGTCGTCGTCGTCGTCGTCGTCGTCGTCGTCGTCGTCGTCGTCGTCGTCGTCGTCGTCGTCGTCGTCGTCGTCGTCGTCGTCTCGTCGTCGTCGGCGGCGGCGGCGGCGGCAGCGGCTGCGGCTGCGGCCTGCTGCGAACCGCAGCGCCCGCCTGCCCCCAAGGGCGGCCCGGGCCCCCCGCCGCCCCGCGGCGCAGCGCCGCCTCGTGCGCGGCCGCCGCTCGGGGCGCCTCGCGGAGGCCGGCCGTCGCCGACGCCGACGCCGAGGCCGACGACGACCCCGACGACGCCGACGGCGGCGACGACGACGCCGACGGCGGGCAGGGGCTGCGTTGGCGACGGCGTCGGCGTCGTCGCGGTGGTCGTCGCGGTGGTTGTCGCGGCGGTCGCCGCGGTGGTCGTCGTCGCGCCGGTGGTCGTCGCTGGCGAGGGTGTCTGCCAGGTGCCTCCGGGCTTCCCAGGGAGTCCCCCACGGCCACCCGAGCGCCCCTCGCGAGGCCCAAAGGGCCCTGGGGGCTCCAGAATTAGGGGAATTCTGAATGGCATAAACATAAAAACTCGGAGCTCCGCGCGGATTTCTCGCATCGGCGCTGGATCCCCCCTCCCTGGCGCGCGGAGCGCGCCAGGGGCGCGCGCCAGGGGCGCGCGCCAGGGGCGGCGCCGGAGGCGCCGCCAGGAGGGTCCAGCGCGGATCCGAGAAGTCCGCGTGGACTTCGGAGTTTTTAGGTTTATGTCATTATTCGTCCCTCTAGGGCCCCAGGAGTGGCGCGGAGAGCTGGGGCCACCTCGAGCCAGGGAGACCTCCGGCGACGCCCGAGCTGTGCTGCTTCAGGGGGCGGGCGCCTGGAGCTAACTGCTCAGGACCTCCAGGGCTCCCAGGACCTCTGGGGGTGCACGTTGCGAGAAAACTCGGACCACGTCGGGCAGACCTCTCTACAGCGAGTCCAGCGGCGATTCACCATCACGCGCTGCACGGCGCAGCAACGAGGTGCGCCGTCGCTGGCCACGCCGCCGTCGTCGCTGTCGTCGTCGTCGCCGTCGCTGTCGCTGTGGTCGTCATCGCCGTGGTCGCCGCGGTCGTCGTTGCCATCGGCGTTGCGGCCGCCAGCGCCGCCGTCGTCGACGCCGACGTCGTCGTCGTCGACGTCGTCGTCGGAGGTGAAAGAAACAGGAGAAGTGGGAGCTACCGCGTGGCCTGGGTGAGGCCGTCTCTATGGTTAAGTCGGGCCTGACCCTCTACAGGGGGAATATTCAAAAATAGTCAAAAAATGGTCTGCGTACCATTTGTTACATTGTGTGGCTGGTTTTGAATATTTTTGGCTATTTACTTTTTCCTCCAGAATCTCCCTGTAGGGCCGACCGAACTCTAGGGTGCAGTTGAACCTAGACCAGAAGAACATCCCTCAAGAGCATGATACACTCCGTCGGCCCAACCAAACAGACCATCCCAGGGTACCCTCCCCAGGGTGCATAAGAACGTCCAGCAAGCATGAACAACATTAGGGCACCCTCCCCGAACCGACCTTCATCTTATACCTCGGTCCGACTGTACCGCGTGGCCTGGGCGAGGCCGTCTCTAAGGGTATGCCCCATCGAGGCGGCTTCCCTGCGCTTCTCAGATCCCTCCTGGCGCACGCGTGGGCTCTCTCCGACTCTCTCTCTCTCTCTCTCTCGCTTTATCGCTCTCTTTCTCGTTCCAAGATGCTTGTGTCTCGGCATCTTGCTTACTTGCTGCATCTTGCCGCGAGGATTCTGCGCAACTCGCTGCCGAGTAGGTTGAGAGGAAGAGGGAGAGAGGAGAGAGGATGGATGAAGGATGGAGAGGGGAAGAGCGACGAGGGAAAAGGGATGGAGGGAGGGAAACAGGGAGGCGGGAGGAGGCAGGGAGGTGCCCCCGAGGCCGAGAGCAGGGCAAAACGCTGGGGCCGAAACGGCCACATCGCTGGATGCCAGGGGTCGGAGATGGCCTTCGGGCCCAAGCTCGGGCCTCCGGGGGGAACGACCCGGGCACCCACGGGGAGCGCCCTATAGAGCGAGGAGCAGCTGCTCCGGAGCGCACGCCGAGGCCGGAGAGCTCCGGGATACCGACGGCGTCGGCCAAAGAGCCTCGAACTCCGAGGCGCCTCGGGGAGCAGGGGCTCGCGCGGCACCGGCGGACGCCGCCGCGAGGACGAGAGCCTGGCCGCGGCCACCGCCACGGACGAGGACGACGACGACGACAACGACGGCGGCGGCGGCAACGCCGACGCCGGCGACGTCGACGGCAGCGGCGGGGGCCGCCGACGATCGGGCATGGACAGAGCACCCATCCGCGAAGCCGACCCGTGGGCCAACCCCGGCGGGCGCAGGCCCGCGAAGTCTGCGGGCTCGAGGGCTCGGGCGGGGGGGCCGTGCCGTCGTCGGGGCTTCCTACGCGGGGGTTTAGCTGAACGGGGGCTTTGGCTTGCTCACATGCCCCCGTTTACCGTGCCCCCGTCCACGGCGCCCAGGGCCCCCTAAACGGGGGCACAGCCAAACGTGGAAATCGGCGTTCCCCGTGCCCCCGTTTGCTGTACCCCCGTCTCTGGCGCCCTGCCATCGCTCGGATGCCCATGCCCGGGACGTGTGTCGGTCTCGCGCGTGCTTTGTGTTGCGGGGTGATCCAGGGTGCTCGTCGATGGCCCTCGCCGAGAAGCGACGCACGCGTTCGAGCGATGCCAAGGGGCAATCTCGCTCATGGACTTGGCAGGGCGGGAACTCCAGCCTCCGAGGACGAAGAGGTCGACGTCGGCGGCGCCGGGCGGCGGCAGGCTTCAGTCGGGCGTGTCCCTCTACAGGAAGAATATTCAAAACTAGCCCAAAACATAATCTGGAAACGATGTTCTCGACCATCTTTGGGCATTCTTGGGGTATTTGTTTGGACTACCGTTTGTTTTTCGTCCAAAACCCGCCTATAGGGGGACACGCCCGACCTAACGGCAGGCAGGCCGGGCCTCGCCCCCTACAGGGGGAGTTTTGGGCGAAAAATGAAAGATACCCCAAACATTTTCAAGAGAATGCTCAAACGCAGTAAAAAATCGTCCCCATATTATTATTTGACTATTTTTGAATCTCCCTCCTGTAGAGGAGGGACAGGCCCGACTTAAGACGAAGAGGTCGACGACGGCGGCGCTGGGCGGCGGCAGGCGGGGCCTGCCTCCGGCCTCGAGGCTCTCGAGCCCGTCGCACGCGGCGCCGGCGATGCCGGCGCGTCGGCGCAGGCTGAGGTTCTCGTCCTCTGCGGGCGGTGCTCCGCAGGCCACCGCTCGTCGTGATTTTCAGCGGCTTCCGTCGCGAACGGTGGGTTCGTACGGCGTCGGCGTCGTTGTGAAAAAATCACGACGGGAGGTTTTCGCTATTTTGGGCCTCCGGGGGCCCTTCCCGGGCCTCGGGGCCGTCAAAAAACGACTTGGGACGAAAAACTGGTCCCGTGGAAAGGGTCCAGACCTCTGGGGGTCGACGTTGTGAAAAAAACACGACGTCGGGGGTCTGGGATGTGGGCTCGTGCGGCCAGGCCAGGTGGGCTCACCAGAGGCCCGATTCCATTTCTTCCCCGGGGGCTCCCGTGTCCAGCCCAGTCCTCTGCGGCGGTGCTCGGATGCACCCCCGATCGCTTTTGCCTTTTTGCGCCTCCTCCTCCTCCTCCTCCTCCTCCTCTTCCTCCTCCTCCTCCATGTCCTTCTCCTCCATGTCCTCCTCCTCCTCCTCCTTCTCCTTCGGCTCCTCTTCTCTTCTTCCTCCTCCTCTTCCTCCTCCTCCTCCTCTTCCTCCTCCTCCATGTCCTTCTCCTCCATGTCCTCCTCCATGTCCTCCTCATCCTCCTCCTCCTTCTCCTTCGGCTCCTCTTCTCTTCTTCCTCCTCCTCCTCCTCCAATCAATATCCCTCTCCCTTATTTCCCTTCCTCCTCCGACGTTGCAATGTGTTCGTGACGTCTGCCCTCCAGGATCTCGACCAATTCCTTTGGGCATGCTTTCCACTCGGGGTAGTACTTCTGTGACGGTCCTGGGGCTAGGACACGGCCTCCAGAGGCCATAACGATTGAAAAAAAGCAGCCCTCACCATTGCTTTACGTCGCCCTCCCTCCCCTCCTCCTGCTACTCCCTCCCGTCCTCCTGCCACTCCCCCCTCCTCCCCTCCTCCTGCTACTCCCGCCGGCTCCTGGAGCTCGAGCATGGTCTCTCGCAGCTCCTCTTGGGGGGGGGGGCGACAAGCTGCCTACAGCGACCGCAGCTCCCAGAGCCTCCTAGATCCGCGACGCCGTGACACTCGTTCACAGCGTGGGAAGAGGCCTCCTAGATGGGGTCTGATTAGGTGGGGTCGGAGGATCGCGCTGCATCGGCGACGTCGGCGAAGCATCGGCGCCATCGGCGTGGCGAAAATCAAGCTCCGCATCGAGCAGCATCGCCGATGTACTGGCGATGCGGCGCCATCCTCCGGCTCCTTTTACTCCGACCCCGCCCGTCTGGGAGGCCCAGAATGGGCCCCCCAGACCCTGACTTGAGCAGGGACCGACCGTCCTGGCATTCCTATGAGCCTGCCACGAAATGTTCTTAGAATCCAGAAAAAAAAAACAAAAAAACAATGTTCTTACAACATAAACCCTATGTGTTAGGACACGACAGTCTCAGCCAGAAATGTTCTAAGAACATTTCGTGCAAACCACAACAGGTTCTTAGAACATGCCTTGGTAGGCCTATAGGCGAGCTGGGACGCTTCGCCACGGCTTGACTGACATCCTCGCGCCGCGAAAGACATCGCGCCGGCAGGTGTTTGCTGATGTTCGGCCTGCGGAGGCCCTGTCTGCGGAGCTCCGGGATCGCCCCCCGAACTCGGCTCGGACCGAGAAGCCCGTGCCCTCCCCGGAAGAGGTCCAGCAGACCTCCAGGGAGCCACGTGGTCCTGTGGATTCCAAGAGGGCCTGGGCCCGATCTTCCTCCCATGGGGCTCAAGGCACCGATCTCCCAGCAGCAGCACTTACGAGCGACGCTCTGATTCGCACCATCGCCACAACCATCAAGTAGTCTCCCAGCAGATACAGTTACAAGCGACGCTCTGATTCACACCATCGCCATAACCACCAAGTAGTTCTTTCCAAGCGGCATCGGCACTCACGGTCCTCGGGGGTGCATCCCAGCCAAGTCAATGCACCAGCCTTGCAGACGTGGTGCTGCGGATTTTCGCGTGGATCATGTTTAGTCTTCATTCCTGGCCCCCCCCAAAAATCCGCACGACATTCACTTCGAAATCCGGAACGAAATTCTCCAGGACACTCCGGGCCCAGCCGATTGAAATCCGAACGAGATCCGCTCTGCGATCTTGGTGCCATGCCAACTCCTGGAGCTTCAGGTGCGGGCGTCGCAGCTAAACTTGCGACGGCATTGTTCTTTCTCGGTCTCTGCTGAAGGCCGTCCCCCGTTCCTGGGGCCGCCGAACAACAGCTCAGGACCGAAAGCTGACCCCAGGGAAGAGGCCCAGATCTATGTTGATCCCATCGTACTTAAGGACCACATCCCAGAAATTCGCCGGCCCAACGGGCCAGAGGCGTGCTAAGATCTCCGGTAACTGCTCAACAATATTTCTAGTTCGCGCGCGCGGGGCGGGCCCTGGGGGTCCCCGGACGAAAAGAACCCCGGCAAGGTCCCGGCAGACTCCCGGCAAGGTCCAGGCAGACTCCCAGCAGACTCCCGGTAAGGTCCCTTTTCGGAGCCCAGGAGGGCTCCAAACGGTCCAAGAGAGGCCCGAGAAGCCCTCCAGACGGTCCAAGAGAGCCGGGAGACGCCGAAATATCACTCCCAAACGCCTGCGATGGCCTCAAGACGGCCTTCAAGACGCCCCAAGAGGTCCCTAAGCGGCGCCCCAAGAGGGCTCCCACAAGCAAAAACCGTCCCATTCCCTTAGGAAACGTGCATTTTTAACATATCCGCCTCTTCGTCTTTCACACCTTTCAAGGCGGTCCAAGAGGCCCCCAAGATCACCCCAAGACGGCCCGAGAGACCCTCAAGACCGCTCAAAGACGGCCCAAGAGCGCTCCAAGAAGGCCCAAGAAACCCTCAAGAACTCTTTTTCGGAGCCCAGGAGGGCTCCAAATCGGTCCAAGAGGGGCCCGAGAAGCCCTCCAGACGGTCCAAGAGAGCCGGGAGACGCCGAAATATCACTCCCAAACGCCTACGATGGCCTCAAGACGGCCCAACAGGCCTTCAAGACGCCCCAAGAGGTCCCTAAGAGGTCCCTAAGCGGCGTCCCAAGAGGGCTCCCACAAGCAAAAATCGTCTCATTCCCTTAGTGAATTCGTCTTTCACACCTTTCAAGGCGGTCCAAGAGGCCCCCAAGATCACCCCAAGACGGCCCGAGATACCCTCTAGACCGCTCAAAGACGGCCCAAGAGCGCTCCAAGAAGGCCCAAGAAACCCTCAAGAACTCTTTTTCGGAGCCCAGGAGGGCTCCAAACGGTCCAAGAGAGGCCCGAGAAGCCCTCCAGACGGTCCAAGAGAGCCGGGAGACGCCGAAATATCACTGCCAAGCGCCTGCGATGGCCTCAAGACGGCCCCACAAGCCTTCAAGACGCCCCAAGAGGTCCCTAAGCGGCGCTCCAAGAAGGCTCCCACAAGCAAAAACCGTCCCATTCCCTCAGGAAAGCGTGCATTTTTAACATATCCGCCTCTTCGTCGTTCACACCTTTCAAGGCGGTCCAAGAGGCCCCCAAGATCACCCCAAGACGGCCCGAGAGACCCTCAGGACCGCTCAAAAACGGCCCAAGAGCGCTCCAAAAAGGCCCAAGAAACCCTCAAGACGGTCCAAGAGGCCCCAAGACGGCCCCATGATTGAGGTCCACAGGGGCAACCTGAACGGAAATTTTGAGCCTCCCGCCCAAACACGCCCCCGAAATGCCCCTACAAGCCCCCAAGTAGCCCCACGAAGCCCCCAAGAGAGCCCCAAGAGGCCCCCAACAGGCCGCAAGAAAGCCCCAAGAGGCCCCCAAGAGACCCCCAGGAAGCTCCCAGGAGGCCCCCAAGAGGCCAGGCAGACCCCCCCAAGAGACCACCAAGAGGGCCCACCCAGAGCCATCCACGAGGCCTCCCAGAGTTCCCAAGAAGATCCCACGAAGCTTCCAAGGGCTCCCAAGACCCCCCAAGAACCCGCGATGGCACAATACGGGCAGGCGGAATGAGCGAAGCGATTCAATAATTTCGAACACCCAGAAAAGTGCCGAAGCAATGTCGAACGAGTGTCGCCTCCCAGGGCCCGACACGTGAAAACCGTCAAGTTTCGGTACTTTCGGGGTGCTCGACATTCTGTGGTCAAGGCCAATGCGATGACTGGCGACCGAGGATCACCTTGGAGCGCTGCTTCAGCAATCACCTGCCCTTAGTTTGATCAACCCATCCACGGCCAACCGGCCCTGGGGGGGCAGTTTGATCACCCTCCCACCAGGGCCGACGGGCCTTGTGGGGGGGGGGAGGGCTACTCCAGCCATCAGGAATCAGGAATCAGGAGGAGGAGGAGGACAAGGAGGTGGAGGGGGAGGAGGAGAACAAGGAGCAGGACGAGGAGGAGGAGGCGGAGGAGGAGGAGGAGAAGGAGGCCGATTTTCTTTGATGTTTCTCCTCTGGTCCTTCAGGCTCCTCTCCAGCTCCACGGCTCGCCGGCAGAGGTCCTCCTTACTCATGGCGTGCGCCTGGCCGGAGGGGGAAAAAGGCGGGGGGGGGGGGGAGGGGCCACGAGAGCAGGGCCGAAGAAGACGACGACGAAGGTCAAAGCGGAGGAGGAGGAGAAGGAGGAGGAGGAGGAGGAGGAGGAGGAGCAGCAGGATATCAACACGCACGCCAGCATCGACAGCGAAACGAAGAGGAGGAGGAGGAGGAGGAGGAGGAGGAGGAGGAGGAGGAGGAGGAGGAGGAGGAGCAGGAGTAGGAGGAGGAGGAGGAGGTTACAGAAGAGGGCACAATGATACAAGGCATAAAGGCACTAACTAGTCTCCAGCCGGCGCACTGGAGGGTCAAAGAGGCGGAGGAGGAGGAGAACTGAGGAGGAGGGTGGGAGGACAACGGTAGAAGAAGAGAGGAGGGCCGATGAGGAGCAAGAGGAGGAGGACGACGGTGGAGCATGAGGTTATGAGGGTATGCGGAGGAGCAGGAGGAGAAGGAGGAGGAGGATGAGGAGGAGGAGGAGGAGGAAGAGGCGGAGGAGCGGGACGAGGAGCGGGATGGAGTGGGAACAAAGCAGGCGAGGATGCCCCCAAGTTTCGACCACTTTTCTCAGGGCGGACGTTCATTCCTGCAGCTGTTGGGCAGCCCCAGAGCCGGGAAGCGGCCCACAGAGGCAGAGAACTGCGAGCAAAACGAGTCGCCGTGACTCACGCTGCGACGGCCTCATCTGACTAGCTGGAGGGAGGAGAGGATGAAGGCGACGACGAGTAGGCTGAGCATCGTTTATCCGATCCTTATCCCCAGCGGCGCGGCCTGGGCCCCACTGGCCGATGTCCCTCCCTGGATGGGGATATCTGGGCCGTTCCCTTCGGGTTTCGAGGCGTACATCCCCAACTGGGGTGCTGAGATGGTGGGGGGCTGGATGGGGATGGGCATAGGGGATGGGGGTCGGGCAAACAATACCGCGGAGAGGATGACGGCGACGACGAGTAGGCGGGCCGAACCCAGGCCTTCGACGATGCGATGTCTTCAGTCCGCGACGAGCAGAGCCGTCGCGACGCGGGATCCCAGCGGCGGCCAAGCGAACAAACAGCCAGCGCTGGCAGCGCCGCGCGGCGCGGCGCGCGGCCCCCCCTCGCAGGCCGCTCCTGCGCGGCGTCGCGCTCGTCGGCGGACATGGCCGCCGACCCCCCGAATCCAGGCCTTCGACGAGGGGGGCCCCGACACCTTCCCCCAGGGGCAGCCTGCCGCCCCAGGTCCACTCTCAAGGGCCCCGGAGCCCGATGGCGGCACTGCACACGGTTTCCCCCGCGGCCGTAGGCGACCCGAGGAGGAGGAGGAGGGAGGAGGGAGGAGGGAGGAGGGAGGAGGGAGGAGGGAGGAGAGGAGGAGGAGGGAGGGGAGGAGGAGGAGGAGGAGGAGGAGGGAGGAGGGAGGAGGGAGGAGGAGGAGGAGGAGGAGGGAGGAAGGGGAGGAGGAGGAGGAGGAGGAGGAGGAGGAGGAGGAGGAGGAGGAGGAGGAGGAGGAGGAGGGAGGAGGGGGGAGGAGGAGGAGGCGGACGAGGAGATGGAGGAGGAGAGGAGGAGGAGGAGGAGGAGGAGGAGGAGGAGGAGGGGACGGGTCGCCTAAGCCCTTCGGAGAAACCCTCCAGGCGGCACCCCATGGAACGCTCTCGGCGAGGCGCAGCTGCTGGAACGCATCCCGAGTCTGAAAAAACTAGGGGAAGCGGCGAAAGCGTCAGAAATCAGAAAGCCGACGAGGACGTCAGAAGCCGACGAGAGTGCTAGAAAACCTCGAAACCATGGGAAGGAGGCCTTCAGCAGCTCGAATGAAGCCTCGCCCTCGAGGTCGACGAACACGTCGCGCGAGGGGCTCGCGGCTGCCGTCGGTCTCCTGCGCACCTCCGCAGGGGCGGGCCAAGGGGCTTCCTCCTCCTTCGCCTCCGCCTCCTCCTCCTCCTCCTCCTCCTCCTCCTCCTCCTTCCTCCTCCTTCCTCCTTTCCTCCCCTCTCTTCCACCTCCACATCCCTCATCGCTTGTCCTCACAGATGCGTCCTCCCTGTCTCGGCCCCAGACGTGTCGGCAGGGCGGGCCGGGCGCTTCGCCTGAGACTGCCGCTCCCCTCCACCTGGAGGCGTGCTGCCGACGTGGACCTCTGGAGGCGTCCACCCTCGCATCGCTGGACGCCTTCGCGCCGACGCGACTGGCACTCATCCTCCACGTAGAGGGTTTCTCCGAAGGGCTTAGGCGACCCGTCCTCCTCCTCCCTCCTCCTCCTCCTTCCTCCTCCTCCTCCTCCTCTCCATCTCCTCGTCCGCCTCCTCCTCCTCCCCCTCCTCCTCTCCCATCTCCTCCTCTCCTCCTCCTCCTCCTCCTCCTCCTCCTCCTCCTCCTCCTCCTCCTCCATCTCCTCCTCCTCCTTCTCCTCCTCGGGTCGCATACGGCCGCGGGGGAAACCGTGCACCTCCACGGAACAACAAGGTGCTGCTGGCGTCCCCGCGCGGGCCGCCCGGCAGTCGCAGGCCCTGCTGGCGGAGTGGGCGCGTCAGACAAGACTTCCCCGCACACCAGAGCCGACAAACATGCCGTCGAGGCCCACGAAGGCGAGCGCGTGCGAGCCGCAGGCGGAAGTGCACCGCCGACGGTCCTCCCGCTGCGTGGGTGGCAGCGTGTTCAGCTGCTCCGGATGCCCAGCTGGGCCAACACTCCTGCTCGACACAGGGTAAGCCACCGATCCCCAAGACATGTGCGCGGGAACCCGAAAACATGTTGCACACGCGCATCCGTTTTTGACAACAGCAAATAGTTTGGTCGCCAAGCACGTCCATGGCAGCAGGTGCAAGGCGGCTGCAACGGCGGCAGGGGTGGTATGTACGAACGACGTTTCGGTCATCTTAGCGATAACATCATCGGTGTTGGCCTGAGCTTGGATATGTTTCTCTGGATCCGCTGTGATTTGCGTTGCCTTGTTGTTCTCGCCCTCGCAATGCACGTTTCTGTTGACCAAAATTAACGGGATCGCGCTCACCTTTGCGCTCTGCATTCGGGCATCCGCTTTTGCATTGGTAACAGACCCTTCGTGGGTAGCCTGCAGGTCAGATAAGAAGCCCTGGATCTGCAAGGCAAGCTGGCAGCAGCAGAGGGACCACTATCGGACACATGCTTGGCGGAATGCCCACCCGACGGTCATGGAAAACCTCCAGGCTGCAAGAGTGCCAGTGAGAAAAAACGGAAAGCAGCAGCAATCACTGTGAGGCAGAACAACAGCACGCCGCACGACTGCGAGGCAGAGCAGCGAAGCATAGAAGGAGGAGATGATGGGAAAGCCGAATGCATGCTCCAAACTTCTTATTGATCAACTGGGGGGTGACAAACGTGAAAACGCGGTGCGGCCAACTTCCCCCACACCACCCCCGCGCCCCAGCGGGGAAGGGAACGAACCCCACCCCCCCTGGCACCCTGCGGACGCGCCGCGGCCAAACCCCCTGGCCCCTGGCACTCCAAGGGGGGAGGGGGGGCGAGTATTAAGCGATCCAGAGTAAGACATCACATATTCGTATGTTCCACTACAAAGACTGGTTTCGCCCACTGCCGTCGCGGGCGCCCTGCCGCGTGGCGCGCCCCCAAAATTGCGGGATGCCGCCCCAGTTTGTTTCACGAAACGCCTGATCGAAGAGTCGACTGGCTGCCCCGCATCTCTTGTGTGGTACCTTGTGGCAGGGGCACGGACTCTGCCCTTGATAGAACCAGCGGGTCAGACATTCGCAATGCAAATGAAGGTCGAATGCCTCGAATCCAGCGCAAGTGCTTTCAGTGAAAGGCATCTAGTCTGTCCCTAACTGGCTTCAACAGCCATGAGGAGTCAAGCGAATCCAATGTGTTGCTTACCACGCGGCTCCAGTATATGAAACTTTCTGTGCTTACCGATCGGCGAATGAAACCACTGTTTGTGAAACTGCATGCAAGATTCGCACCATCTAAATAGGTTGGAATCGCAACTCGTGTACGCTGCCTCGCAGAACTCTGCAAACATCGTTGGATTATGTTCGAACCATGTCTCGCCGTCTAACAGGGTATTGATGTGCGCGATCGGATGGTTCACCGCTTGCGTAGCTGCTGTCACCGCCATGGCAATCATGCCCCGCTATCATGCAAGAGAGGCAGCAGCTATTTTTCACATGAGACTGAATAGCTGACTCACGTCACGCTTGAGGCAAACGTCGGCGGAGAAACGTCTCGACAGGAACCGCCCTCCTAGAGGGGAAATCTGACATGTTCTGGCACTCAACTATGCTACCCCCATGTCGCTGCCTATGCATTATGTGCTATAGAGGTCCCGCAGGCATGGAGGTCCATGTTCTGACAACTCCTGCTCCTACTTCTCCTTCTCCTCCTCCTCCTCCTCCTCCTCTTCCTCCTCCTTTTCCTCCTCCTCCTCCTCCTCCCACTCCCTCTCCTATCGCCTCCTCTTCCGACGACGCTGCCCCCCCCGAGGCTGCCCGGGCGCCGCTCCGCGGAACTCGATGGCGGCCGTCATGACGGCCAGGCCGCCGTCAACCTCGGACATCCGACGACTTGTTTTTGATTAAGTCCCAGCGTTTGCCGAGAGGCAACGCTCGGGGGGGACTGGTTTAGGGGGCGAAGTATAGACCATGAACTGGCGATACATCCACAAAAGATCGGCGATGGGCTCCGTAGCGAATGCGCACGGTCCTGGGCAAGGTGGGCTATCAGTGCCACGAGTATGCCCCTCCGCATCGCGCGCCGCGGGGCGGGTTCAGGGGCGAAGCCCCTCAATAAAGGAGAACAAAAAAACGGCCCGAGCCCGAGGCGGCTGCGGGAGAAGAGGAGAGAGGAGAGCAATCCCTACGTGGCTCCTACCACTAAGTTCTAGGGTAAACTTCCGAACGAGACAAATTGATACAGCCAAGTCGTATACTAAAGATGCGCGGTAAGGATCGAAAGGCCTTGGAGGGCCATGTTAACGTCGTTCGAGCGAGGCTGGCCAGCGAAAGTCGCTTAGGATGGGCCGAAGGGGCAAGGATGCAGGGGCAGCCTTGGAATGGTTGCGCATCCTTACTATGCGGGTTGACTGTAATAGAGAAAAAGAAAAAACGCCATAGACATAAACTTTTGGCGCTCCGCGCGGATTTCCTGGATCCGCGCTGGAATCCCCTCCCTGGCGCGCGGAGCGCGCCAGGGGCGGCGCCGGAGGCGGCGCCAGGGGGGCCCAGGCGCGGATCCGAGAAATCCGCGCGGCGCGCCAAAAGTTTATGTGTATGTGGTTTGTTCTTCTTCGAGTTGCACATCCTTACTATGCGGGCTGACTGTAAACAATCCTTTGGATGCCTGCCTGGTCTTCCTCCATGCCGACCCTGACGCCGACCCTGGCAGCTCGCCCCCCCGCACCTCTTCTGGAGCGCGCTCAGGAGGGGGAGGAGGGGGGGGAGGAGGAAGAGGAGGAGGATTATGAGGAGGACGAGGAGTCGAGGAGAACGCACGACGATGAGAACGAGGAGGACGAGGAGGAAAGCGAGAAAGAAGAGGAGGACGACGACGAGACGAACGAGAGCGAGCACGAGGAGGGGGAGCGAGGAGGACGAGGAGGAGAACGTCGAGGAGGACGGCGACGACGACGGCGAGGAGGAGCGGCGAGGAGAGACGGCCCGGCCGCGCCGGCCGCCGGTGGCCCACGGGGTGCTGGCGTGCTGCAGCTCCACGGCCTTGCACACCGCGAGCGCCCGCTCCAGGGCGGGCAGGTCCTGCTCGTTGAAAGCGTCCTGCCCCAGGACGTCTCGGGTTCGGGTCCTCCTCGATCCCCCTCTCTCCTCTCTCCTCGCCGTGCTCCTCCTCCTCCTCCTCCTCCTCCTCCTCCTCTTCCCTCCTCCTCCTCCTCCTCCTCCTCCTCCTCCTCTTCCTCCTCCTCCTCCTCCTTGTCCTCCTCGTGTTCCTTCTCCTCGTGTTCCTCCTCCTCCTCGTTTTCCTCCTCCTCCTCCTCTTTCTCCTCCTCTTTCTCCTCCTGCTCATCCCTACTTTCTCCTCCCGAACACTGCTTACACCCCCACTCGGTTTCCCCGCGCTACCACCTCCTTTCGCTCGCGCCCTCTCACTGCTCTCGTTTCGACCGAGCACTCCTGTGCCACCGATTTCGACCAATGCGAACATATGCAACCTAACACAGATTGGTCTACTGTTGGTCGGGTGCCAAACCCCATCATTAGCATATGCGTAGAACAACTCTCGGATCGTCTTCCAAGGTTGTTGCTCGCACGGACCGGTCGTGGTCGTTGCTCGCACGGGCTCAAGGCGCACATGACCCTCCTAGGCAAAGATGGTTGGCAGTTCCGCACGTCCAGCAGACATATTTACTCTGATAGTTTGTGCAAGCCGTAGCTGATGTAATATACGAGTCTACCGATGCCGTGTTTCCCGCGGGTGGCGAGGCGGCCAAGTGTGAAGAGCCGCCCGCATAGTCCTCACTGCTGGACAAGCTTCATGCATTCTATGTTCCGTGGAGGGCCGATGCAGACGCTGTATTAGAAGAATAACAAACCACATAAACATAAACTTTTGGCGTTCCGAGCGGATTTCTTGGAGTCGCGCTGGATTCCGCTCCCTGGCGCGCGGAGCGAACGCGCCAGTGGCGGCGCCGAAGGCGTCGCCAGGGGGCCCAGGCGCGGATCCAAGAAATCCGCGCGGAGCGCCAAAGTTCTGTTTATGTGGTCTTCCTTCATCGAAAATGTTCCATCCCACTTGACTTTGCCAGAGGAAAGCGGAAGCAGAGGTGCGTCCCGAACCTCACAGGCTTTCGGCCCAGGGTGATTCCCAGAACCTACGGGACCAGGGCACCCCAATCGTAGCCAGACCAGGCTTCACCAGGTTTCGAAAAGAAGAGGAGCAGACCTTGCGTCAATCCCCTCGTCGCGCACCCACGCACACAGACACATATACACATATAAACACACACGCGCACACACATGCACACACACATATACACACACGCACACACACAAACACACGCACACACACACGCACACGCACACACACGCTCACACGCACACACACACACACACACGCTCACACACACACACACACACACACACACGCACACACACACACTCACTTACACACACTCTCTCTCTCTCTCTCCCACACACGCGCGCACACACATACACACACAAACACACACACACAACACACACACACACACCTCCTCCCTCGTCCTCGTCGTCCTCCCGCTCCCTCCTCCTTCTCCCGCTCCCTTCTCCTCCTCCTCCTCCTCCTCCTCCTCCTCCTCCTCCTCCTGAAACGTGTTGAATTGTTGCGAGAAGAAGGGGACGCAATGGAATCTGGGAGACTCCCGGCCCCATCCAGTGTATGATATCCACGCCTCCCCTAGTCCTAGCCCCCCTCTTCAAAATTCCCGACTTCGGCGATCCCTCAGATCCGATCCGGGCGCCGCCACAAAACATCGCGACGGCCGCATGCTGACCGTGCGTGCTCGGCCCCGGAGGCTCCGCGGAGGCTCTTGGTGGAGACAGGGGCCGTAAGCCTTCAGATCTGGGCGTTGCGAAAAAATCTACAGGGGCCTAGGGACACACAAACAAATACACACAAATCCCAGGATCCCCCTATATTTTTTCATATTTTCCAGGTTTTCGTCTTCCCCCCAGTTCCCATACTTTCCCAGAGGTTCCTGGGAGTCGATGGTTAATTATGTCTGTGTGGTTTTCTCCCCTCCTGAAAATCCAGCTCCAGGTTTTCAAACATTTTCGTCGGTTCTCCGAAGAACCCTGCCAGACTCGGGGTGCTGTCCAGCAGCCGCGCCTCGCCGGGAGCGTTCCAGGGGCGCCCCAGTCCCGAGACGCTCCAGACGGCCGTTGGGGGCCCGAGCTGTGACCCGATGAATTACCACCCGGCAGCCAGACCCAGGCGTTGAGTAGAGTTCGCAGGAGGGGGGGGGTCGTGCTTTTCGGCCTCTCGACGCCGCTTCCTGGCCCCCCAATGGGGGCGGGTCATGATGCCTTAAGGTGGCTGGAAAGCCGGCGCCAGGGAGATTCCCAGGGGCGACGTCGCGAAACAGAATGCAGCGTCGGAAGGGAGGGGCGTCGCTTCGAGGATCGGGGGAGAGATCTCAGATTTAGGGAAAGATCGAAGATGGCCAGAGGAAACGATCCAAGATCCAAGATCAATGGCCAGAGGCCCGAGGAAGAGGAAGGATCCACGATCAAGATCCAAGACCGATGGCTACAGGAAAAAGATCAAGATTCAAGATGGACAGATTTAGGGAAAGATCCAAGATCAATGGCCAGAGGAAAGAGGACGGATGGAACGAAGTGTCGAAGGGTCGACCGAGGATCGAGGATCGAGGGAAAGGGCAATGGCCCCACGGGGTCGAATGAGGATCGAAGATGGAAGGAGGGGGTCCAGCGGGTCGGGGACGATCGAAGGAATGATCGAAGGAGGATAGAGGATCGAATGCGTCCTGGGGCCGATCGAAGACCGAGGATCGAAGGAAGGATCGAAGATCGAGGACCGAGATTGACAGTGGTTGTAGGGATTCGAAGATCGAGGTGGAAGGCTTCCGGGGAAGTTTCTTTGGCCAGCGCTGGGCTCCTGCTCCTCCTCCTCCTCCTCCTCCTCCTCCTCCTGCTTCCTCCTCCTCCTCCTCCTCCTCCTCCTCCTCATCCTCCTCCCCCTCCCCACTCCTCCTCTTCACTCCTCGGGGGCAGGCCGCGCTCTGTGATCGTGGTCGCGCAGGCTGTGCTCTGTGCTCTGGGCTCCTCTCAGAAGGCCGCTCCTTGGGGGGGGGAGGGGGTTCGCCATCCATGACCAGGACCTAGAGACTCCGATTCGGCGGCCAGCCTGGGGGGGGAGTGTGAATGGGCGGGCCTTCTCAGAAGTTCCCCCTCCTTCTGAACAGTTTCCTAAGCCTTCCCCAAAAAGGCACACGAAACTTCTCAGGAGGCCGGAGGTCTTCTGAAAAGTCCAGCCGCCTTCCGAGAAGGCCTTCTCCTTCTCGCTTCCCCCCCTTCGCCTTCTGAGAAGACCTTCTCAGTTTCCTAAGCCTTCCCCAAAGGCAAAGGAAACTGATCAGAAGTCCCGCCGCCTTCTGACAAGGCCTTTTCCTTCTCGCTTCCCCACCCCTCGCTCGCCGCGGGCCCATACCTGCACGGTTTCCCACGGGGCCGTAGGCGACTCGAGGAGGAGGAGGAGGAGGAGGAGGAGGAGGAGGAGGAGGAGGAGGAGGAGGAGGAGGGGGAGGAGGGGGAGGAGGGGGAGGAGGGGGAGGAGGGGGAGGAGAGGGAGGAGGAGGATGGAGGAGGAGGAGGAGGAGGAGGAGGAGGACGAGGAGGAGGAGGGGAGGAGAGGAGGAGGAGATGCAGGAGGAGGAGATGCAGGAGGAGATGCAGGAGGAGGACGACAGCAGGAGGAGGAGGAGGAGGAGGAGGAGGAGGAGGGGAGGCCAGGAGGAGGAGGAGGAGGAGGAGGAGGAGAGGAGGAGCAGCAGGAGGAGCAGGAGGGAGGAGGGAGGAGGAGGAGGGGGAGGAGGGGAGGGGGAGGGGGGAGGGGGAGGGGGAGGAGGAGGAGGAGGAGAGGAGGAGGAGGAGGAGGAGGGAGGAGGAGGAGGAGGAAGAAAAAAGGAGGAAGGAGGAAGGAGGGAAAAGGAAGGAGGAGGAGGCGGAGCAGGATAAGGTGGACGAGGAGGAGGTGGTGGTGGGACCAGCCTGGGGAGCCTGTGGGTCATCAGCGTCATGACGAACTCAGATTGCCATGCTGACCCCTGGCTCGCGCTGTCTGCGGCCGTGTGCCGCTTGTGGGCCAGGGAGCGATCAACTGACCGCCGCTCCAGCGCACACTCATCAGAGCACTGGCGCATATGACTGAACCTCCTATTGGGGCATCAGGAGGACCCCGAGGAGGCGTGAGTCGAACGCACCCCGCATGATTTTCCTCACGAAGGGGCCCCAGCCCCTCAGGAAAAGAAACACAAAACTGACTAGCTCACGATGGGTCGCCTGACACTCTGTACTCACTGCCTTCAGTGTTAGAAACATCAGACTATTCAAAATACTCCAGGAGCCATTGGAGATTTTCAGAGTCGGTCCTGGACGAGGGATCCCCAGGAACAAGGAGGAGGACAAGGAAGGACAGAAACCAAACTCAAGGACTCCAGGGCTCTGGAAACTCTCTGGGTTGACAGATCTACTGATGGGCTCACTCAGGACCCCCTGGCTTTCCCAGAGGGTCCTCTCGAGCGCACGCTCACTGCTCTCAGACGGGCTCACTCCTGCTGTTTGAGCTCCCCCATTTCGACGTGACACTCGACGATCGTTCGGGCGCGCGGGCCACGCGCGGGGCCGCCCACCTTCCACTCCACCTCGGGCAGCTGGCCGATGATCTTGACCAACTCGTCCACCGTCGACTGCAGCTGCGGCGGGACCATGAGCTCGAGTCGATACCAGTCCTTCTTCCATTCTTTCTGGCAATAACACTTCTTCGTGAAACCCGCGTGCACATGCGGGCACGACACCTTCATGTCTTTGACATTCTGGACGTGTTGCACCGACAACGGCTTCTGCGCTTCGGGAATGGTCGCGTCCGTCTCCAACGTCGTGCACATCTGGCACCATAACTGAATCCAACTCCAGATCTCGTTCTTCAGCTGGGCGTGATGTTTGGCCATTCGCTTGATCATAGAAAACATTGAACCACGGTAACTGGGCACGACGACACCAATCCTGCGGGATACGTACTTGTAGTAGTGCTTGCTCTCGAC